TATTCTTTTCAAGCAGAAGTGTAAAGCCTTATTAAGTCAAACAGATATTTCCTTAGACTTCAAGATCCAAAGAGTCTGGCCTTTCTCTCGAAGTCTCCGTTTAGAGAACCACTGTGTTCACTAATATTTACTCTTCATTGAGGCCCTGTTTTTGACTTTCCTTAGAACTCCATTACTAGTTGGTTCCTATAAGTCTGTCTTTCACAGAAGAAAAGCAGAGCTTGGCTCCTTGGAGCAGGGCTTGGCAAGCATCGAGACAGGAAACACAGAAGGGAATGAGTCTGTCAGACTCATTTTCTTCTATTTCAAATGCTTATTTCAGATTCTGGAGGAAGCGGAGTGCTCCTTTTCCATTTCCTAGTATTTGGAACCTACGAGCTGTATAAAGCTTGGAGAACAGTATTGTACCATGCACCATACTCATCCAGTCACCAATGGAGACTCTTATAGAAATCACATCCTACCAGAACAGAACGCTTAACTCTCTGAGGTCCGTCAGTCATAATAAGCAACTGAGTGAAACGCCAAAGGCTCAGCAATATCCCAACCCTCCTCCCAGGGGCTGGGGTTATGCCCAGCTTACCTTAGTCCTAGCCCTGCCACATAGCACACCTGAGGCTCCAGCTCAGTCTGATATAATGTGTGAAGGTCTCAGGTAGGGGCTGATCCCAAATCCACTTACCTAAGTTCCTGGGACATACTGCACCTGACCTCAGAATAGTGTTTCCCAAGCTAAGACTTAAGATATACCTATTTTGGACATTATTTCACTTCAGCCTTAAACACATGGGCTTTTCCAACCCATACTTTTTATATATAACATCAAGCCATTCAACTCTGCAGCTTGCTTTCCTGTCCCAGCAATTAACAGAGACCATTTCTAAAGCCCAACAGAGACCATCAGAGAGCAAACCAGAAAATCCCATGGAAATTTTCCTACCAACACTAACAGATGTGCACTCCTCAGACTGTAGGAAACAAGACTGGAGTATAATTTTAGCTACAAATGAGTTATTGATGATATTTGTAGACAGAAACCTTCAGCAAAGGTGAGACCTTGTGACATTTCACACGAATAACCCTGTAGTTCAGTACTCGATAAAGAAGCCATACATCAGAAGTGAATTAAGAATGGGAGGTTTCCAGGTCAGAGCGCCCAGTCTGAGCACATCAGATTTGTCAAGGTTTTAAAAGATAAAAATTTGACTCATCATCTTTACTTACTTTGGAATCTTCTGCATTGTGCTATTGTTTGGGACCTACTGAGCAGAGCTCACTAAGGTTTATGTGCACAAATACATATCTTGATTGCAGAAAGTTTATACATGTATTTATATCTGTCCATTCATTGATACATAGTTTTTGATGACATCTACCACGTTCTGGGAGAACTCCTGAGCTAATTAACTCTTCCATATGTTGGAATTTCTCTGCCCTGACTTCTGTGTGACTATGACACATGGAAGCTAACAGCCTATCAGAGTTATCGACTTAGATATAATCCCCATAGTCATTTTAGAAGCCAAAAGTAATCAAGCTATACAACATTTTGACTGCTAGTTTGGTTTTTAACATCTTCTTTACTATTTACTTCTTTACTATGCCTATTAAGTAAGGCACAGGAATCATAACTAAGTCCAGCAAAAGAATCTGCTCAGTTCTTCTTTAAGCCAGGAAAAATCAGAATCAAAAGAAGAAAAGATAAAGAAACACCACAAAACTCACAGCAAGACAAGCGTTCCTGTTGGGAGGATATTTTCCCAGAAGTACACTATAGCCAAGCTATGCCAAGTCGTGTACTTTTCACACACAAAATTATATTGTATCAAATTTAAATTTGTTACAACTGCCATATCCATTAAACCAGTGATAAGGAAAACGTAACTCGATATCTGATCTAGTGAAACAGCAACCAACATTAGCTCACAGCCGCGTGAAGACCACCCCCACTGCCATTACTGGTGTCAGCTAAACCTCAGCCAGTTTGCCTTCTCCGGCCATTTTTAGCTAACTATGTGATTGTCACGATTAGAAAAATCTTGAAGTGTCTGAGTGAGGCAGTTCTGTCGGCCGTTCCCGACACTCTGCATTTGCTGCACTTAAAATAGACACTTGTACCAGTGTCCCTTCTATTACCCAAAGGAGAAAAAAAAAATCACATACACACCAGTCCCTTTTCTTTTAGCTCACAGAGAAGCAACTCAATCCAAGGAGTGTTGAAACCTGAGTAGGTCACTGTACACCGCGATAAAATTCCCTAATCCCTGGGCCAAATCTCCCCAAGGGGGGGCCTCCTCCTGATCCTCCACTTCCCAGGCTGACTTTTCCATTCGCTCTCTCCTTTCCCCTTTCATTTCCCCTACCTTCAAGCCTTGATATGTGATCCGAAGTGGGGGCTCAGGTTTCCGTTTTTACAGCTTAGGCCCCCGCTAGCTGTATACATTCCTTTCTTTCTGCTGGGCAGTGATTACTTACCGGGGCTTAGTTTACACTGGTCCAGATGAAGGCAAATACAGCCAAGCAGCCCCAGCAGCCCTGATATGAAGCTGTACAAGGCTACATTGTGTTCTGGATGACATTTTGTTGCACACATTTTTATACAGGGCAACCAACTTATTATGTTACCCTATACTTCAGTTCAGGAAGCTGAAGGGATAATAATACCAGGAGGGGTGGGGTGGGGCTTGTTGGTGTGGCTATTAATATTAAGATCAGAAAAATATTAATGAGTTCAAAGTAAGTCTGTGACTTTGAGAAGCTACTTTAAACAAAGATTTTTTTTGATGATGATGTTATATTAGAAGAATGCCTATAGACCCACTAGTCACCCTGGCATGGTATACATGGATGTGACTGAAAATTTTTGCCAGACCCTTTCATTTTGTTCCAAACCAGAGAGAAAAATGCCACAATTGAATTATGTGCTGAAAAAAAAAGGAAAAGAAACGTCTTTTAATGACACAGAATGAAACAAGGATTGAGGCTTCAAATAGTAGAAGGCAATTTAGAGAAAGAAAAACACCATTTGTAGAAAGAGGAAATTCTGTGCATCCAGGTTAATCCCATACTCAGTCTTGCAGCATGAGCTGAAAACTGTGTAATTTTCCCCCTTCACACAATGTTGTTTTTGTTTCTTCCTCGCTAGTTCAGACAAACATCTGTTATACTGTAGAAGGACAACTATCTCCCAAACCACGGAGTGCCTGCAGCCAAAGCCAACAGCACCAGCCCCAAGCATTGAGCACAGTCAGCCTTTATATCCAGCCGGGATAACATTTCACATGTTTTGATTAAAATTAGCTAATTTGTAATTCTAGAACCTATGAAACTTAAAAGCTGCCATCCATATAGAGGGCATTAGACAGCATCTTAAAGGGCCAGAGCTAGCTGTGGCTGCCTGGTGGCCTTCTCTGGTCCTCCCCCAGTCTCCATTTATAAAACGACACTGAAAAGTAATGGAGAAACGCAAGACAGGAGGGAAGGGCCAGAACTGTAGAACACACTCTGCCTCAGGGAGAGAAAACAACTTTTACAGATCTCTTTCTTTTCTTTTTTTAAACTGTCTATCATTAGAATCAATGGTGGTTTCTGTTACAGGGAATGGTATTAATTTTCAAGGCAAAGCTTCCTAACTTTCCCAGACGTGTACCTCCTGCTTCCAGACACTAAATTCTTCACCACCACCACCTCCCAAAATAAAAGCCCTACTTCCAAAACGTGCAATACAAGTGAAACTCCCAGGAAAGACATAAAGCTAGGAACATGCACCTAGTTTCACAAACACCTAAGATGTGTGTCTGTTTACCCCTTCTAAAAGTGGGCTTCATCTTAGCACCCTCACCAAATATGCTTGCTATGACCAAGAAAATGCCAAAACCCGCACTAACAGTGAATTGGTCCCATATCATTTTAACCAGTTTGCCTTTCAAATACAAAGTTAACCAAAGCTGACCAAGTCACCTGAGTGTACCGAAGATTCCATGCATACGTGGGAACACCAAGAAACACGAAAAACAAGCTTTATTGTCATAGAAACAAATCTATATACGTAAAGTGATTTCTTTTTCAAATCGAGAAACTCGTGAAATGCACGCACAAGATAAAATCCTCGCCCAGGCAAAACACACAACTTTGAGGAAAATAAAGAAGTGGAGGTGCCGAGAAGAGTCCAGGCTGAGCCCTTGTTCTTGGGCTTCAACGCGAACAGCTGGAGCGCCAGGAGGCTGCGCTCGCCACCTCTGGAGCACCGCTGGCCTGGCAGGGCGCCCGGCCTCGCCGAGAGGACTCGGGGTTGGCCTTCGCGAACAATGGGCAGGCGGCTGCGGAGGCCGCCCCTCAGACAGCTGGCTTTCAGCCGGGCTTGCCGGGTCTGCTAACTGGAAAGTGGGGCGTGCAGAGGCGAGCGGGAGACCCGGGGCAGTGGCAGAGAGGAGCGGCCGGGGACAGCGAGGCGAGCCCGCCGGCTGCAGCGTCCCTGACCCGCGCCGCTCCAGCCCAAGCCTCGGGCACTGACAGCTACACGGCCGCAGCTGGCGAGTTGGAGCAAAGCGGGATCACCGAGCTTGGGGATGGACCAGGAAGAGGGGTGGAATCCAGGTATCCCGGCTGCCCCGGCCTGGCGGCTCTTAACTTTGGAGGGGTCCGGAGATTCGTTTCGGAAAAAGGGAGAAAGACTACACCGACCATCGGGGAAACCACTGCACCATGCTCACTCGCCAATGGGGTTCGGTGCCCTCGCCCGGCAACATCTGTACCAATCTAGGGTTTGTGAGGTTAAATCGTACGCCCCCCGCCCCCATCAAATCTGAGGTTGGCAGATTTCGGAGATGCAGCCCATGAGTTGGCCTCGGCTTTGCACCTGGAGGGGGGGCTGAGGCGTCCCGGGGACCCAGCAGAAACTGACAAGCGCGCCCCTGTCCCCCCCGCAGCCCACACAACAGCCCGAAGGGAGCGGACGGAATAAAGAGCTCGGTCTCCCCGGCCCCCGAGTCCGAAAATACCTTCATCTCCTCGTTGATCTCCCTCTTCACGGGGTGAGCCGGTTTCCGGCTCCTTTTATTTTCCGGAGGTCTCCCTTCTTTCTCCATTTCTGCCATGTTTTTGTGTCTGGTTTCTGTGGAGATGAAATGGCTGCTGCCGCCGCCGGCGGTGGTGGTGGCGGTGGCGGTGGCGGAGGTGGAGGTGGTGCTGATGGTGGCAACGCTGGCGGAGGTAGCGGTGCTGGCGGGTCCGGGGCTGGGAGGGGGGAGACAGGCGAGGGAGGAGCGGGGTCTCTTCTAGCGGCGGAGACCGTCAGTGGCCGTCACGGGGAAGGGTAGCCCGGGGAGTCTCGGGGATGCCGCCGCCGCCGCTCCTGCCGCCGCCGCCGCCGCTCCTGCTGCCGCCGCTGCCGGTGCCGCCGCCGCCGCTCCCTCTCCCGCCGCCGCCGGGCTGCATCCTCGGGGCCCGAAGGAGTCGTCAGCCATCTTCCTGTGCTCTGTCTGTCCGCATGGGCGAGAGGAGCGCCGGCCACCGGGAGACAGCTGCTCTGGGCGTGCGTGCGTGGATCTGTGTGTGCGCCCGGGAGAGCGCGCCAGCCCCGGCGCCCTGCGCCTCCCGCGAGCCGAGCCGCGGGCGGAGGGAGGGACTGAGCGGGGAGGGGTCCGAAGGAGGGGAGGCTGGGGGGGGGGGAACAAGGCCAGCCCCCCGCTCGCGAGCGGGCGTGGCTTCCCGGTCGCTGTAGACTCGGATGCTGCGCGGCTCCGGGGGCTGCTGGCGGCCGCCTGCTTGTGGGCGGCGGGCACCGGCCCTTCTCGTAGCCGCCACCTCCCCGCGGCGACCCCTGCCTGCTCCCGAGCTCCGTGACGTGGGCTCCGGTGGGCTCAGAGTTGGCTTCGGAGGGTGACCTAGAGGCCGCCGAGGCAAAACGTATCGGGGTGAAGGGTGGAGGTGGAGCGGTGAAAGGGCTCAGGGACCTGAAGGCAGAGCGAGCACTCGGCCCCGGGGTTGCAGTGCCGGGGAGCGGAGGGAAACACAGACCAGACCCACCACTCAGACTCCAGTGTCCTGCTCCGGGGGCCACGGCAGACTGTGTGGAGGCTGAATGTCCCTTAGAGGGGTCCCCAGCACAGCGCGCCGTCAGACTGTTTGCCAGAAAGCTTTCGCCTTCCTGAGAAGGACTTCCAAGTAGGACAACTCAGCCTTCAGCTCCCTGATTTTCTTTCTCTTTCTCTCTCCCTTCCCCCTCTGCCCCAAACGCATGCTTATGCTCGGTTACAAAGTAGCATCTTTATCCCGTGACCCGGCTTGCACCCTCACGATGCCCTGAGCTTAATGGAAAGGGCTGGACTTAGTGGGTATTGCTGTGCGCTCAGGATCTCCCGCAGGATCCCTCCCTCCAGAAGCCCCACGCCCTCGCCACGCACGGCAGGACCCTCTCCTCTCTGCTGGGTTCCACACTCTTCTACCAGACTCGCATCTGCCTGTTCCAAAGCCCAGCTCATCCTCCATGCGCTCACGTGTTTCCTCTTGGGCCGCCTCTGTCCACGCCCTGGACCAAGGTCGGCTGAGCCTGTCCCTGTCTTTTGGGTTGAGGTATTGGCGTGAACCGTTTGACGAGGCTCCAGAGACAACACACAGCTCTGAAAAGCTCCTACACACACTGCAAAGGGACGACACCTAGACGTTCCCAGCTCAGCTTTCCCGCGCCGCTCCACTTTGTAATTACCTGACACAATGTGATATGGGGGTGCCCATTGTTCCCCGGCTTGTTATTACGGAGTGTTCATTATGACAGTGGTGGAATTTAAAATTACACATTTTTAAGTACTTAAGAGATAGAATGAATTCGGTGTGGGGGTATGAGTAAGCTTTTCATTAAAATCTCAGTTCGGCCTATCAAGTGGGGTTCATTCTGAGTATTGCCTTGCGTAATTTGCATTTTAGCATTGTTTTGTCTCTTAAGCATCGGAATTAAAGATATCTGGGAGCGTACTCCGCAGGGCTGAACAACTCTAAGAGGCCTGTTTTGCATTTTAGCATTATGTGTTTAGTACACACCAAGTTCCAAATATTTGGGAGGGTACCCTGGAAAACAACTCCGTGCATCTTCTCTTTCCTGGGCTGGGGGTGCGAGGGGAAGCAGTACTCCGGCTACTTCTAGTACCTGTGTATCCCAAGCTGTCAGGAGGCCTGTGGGAACTACTAAGAGCCAGCTTTTGCCTTTTATGGGTCGTAGTGAAAGTCCAGGGTGACGGGGGTTATAACGCCTGTATTCATAACAAGGTTTCAAGGAATTAAGAAAGGGGATAGATGGAAATCGAGAGACCCTGCACCCAGCTTGAGAGCCCCAAGTCCTCTGGCTGGGTCTCGAATTTTGCAGAAGACCTTGGAAAACCTCCAGCAACCCAGTAGTAAGGGAGGCTGAGAGAAACTCAGACTCCTCCCAGATCACTAAGGAGTGTAGCATATGGTTACACTATAGATAAAGGGTGTCTCCATCATACTGTTGCTGGTAGAGGAAAGGAGGAAGTCCTTGGTGTTTTTAAAAATCACAATTTCACCAAGACAATACGTAGACTACAACGGTTTGTTCTTTCTGTTCTGTCCTCTTGGTGTTTAGCTAAAAAGGTGGTGGAAAAACTTTTTTCTTCTTACTTTGTAAAACTACAGGCACAGGTTGTAAAATCAACTATGCAATAAGAAGCCTTTGTCTCTTGGAAACATATTTACATCTTCTCTGTTTCCTTTGGTGTCACAGCTGTCACAATTGACTTACTGTTGTTCAACTGATATCAAGTAACAAGTTGTATACCCCCCTGTCTTAGATACAGTTTCCCAAGTTAAGAAACAAGTAAACAGAAAAGGTAAACTATAGCCCAGATTTATATTTAGAAGCAGCCGCACTTCTTTCAAAGGGAGTAACTTTAAAGAAACAGCCCAGGGGTTAATGAAAATAATGACATTGGTCAGCCACCTGTTCCTTCCTGATCTCTAGAAACCTGAGGTAAGACGATTGGACCAGAACCCATGAAGCAGATCTTATGGACAATGGAAACTCAGAAAGTATATCTGAGAAAAACCGTTAACCTGACCTGAACTTTGGCACTGTAATTGCTCCATGTTTGTGAATCTGTGTTTTCCCAAATGTACCACAGAAGGCAGTTAGTTACACCAAGAGTTGATGCTTTATGCAATTAGAATCTTGAGTTCCCTGGATAACATCTTTGTAAACATGTAACTGTGGGTAGAAACAATAACATAAGTATGTTTCTGAAGACTCCTTCCTTCCTCCACCCAACACACATAGCCCAAGCCTCCTGGTATACAATTAGTCCTCATTTTCCTCCCTCATTAGCCCTGCCAATCACCAAGATAGGCACAGGGCCAATCTTTTGTAGATTCTTCATTTACCTTTTTGTGTTCTCCCTTCTTTAGAGTTCTTCTTGATCTTAATCTGGGCCTGCTTCACCTGGAAAACACATCAGAGAACAGACGGGAAGATCCCAGAGTGGTCATCTGTGGATGTATTTGCTATCACCTAGAATTGATTAGTGTACCCTAAAACCATCTTGAAATGTTTCTCTGTGTAGTATTTGAAATAAGCGTTCGTCTTGAACAAGTTCTATGCTCTAGCTAAAGGTGAGGATTAAAATATAATTATGATGTTGAACATGTGATAGGAATGATCTCACTTAATATTCATAACATTTCGTGAAACTGCTTTTGTTATCCCCAAATCACATAAGGAAGCTGAATCTTATACAAGTTCCTAAGAAGTACTGGAATGTAGACTTAGAACTTCCCGTCCAATTCCTGCTCTGGAGTTTTCAATTTTATGCTGATCTGATTTGGTAAATTCCTGTAACAATCTACATTTTACCTTATCTAAGGCCCATATTTTCATAGATTAAAATACATTTTTACCTTGAATTCTAACTTCTTTAAGTGATATATCTTTTTGCCAATGGTACATAATCAAACATGATATTCGCCAATCAGGGCATTAGCATCCTTGAGTTAGGCGGAAGCAACCATTCTTAGAAAAATCCCAGAGGCTTAAAACAACAAAGATTTATATTTCTAGCTCCAACAAAGTCAGCTAAGGATCACTGTGGATCTCTTTAGCAGTTATCCCCCATGTGATGGCTTGGGATGGACTTCACAGGCACCATAGGGAAATGGAGGCTTGGGGAACCAACAGGACCGTAACATACATTGTCTAGAGTTAGTCATAGAGAACTGACCAACCCATAGGGAAGCTAGGAAGTTTAGTCCTTCCAGGTTCTCCAAAGGATAGGAGAAATAGAGGCAAATATTTAGTCTTTGTATCACAAACACATCTTCAGTTCATTGAAAAGTGGTTGTTAGGGTCTGCCAGAGTAAACATTAAGACCAAATGTCCAATGACTGGTCTTTTTTATTTAAATATACTTAAGAATTCACGACTATGTTTAACTGAAAAGAACAAAATTCTAGAGTGAAATTTAAGAGGCGCTTCTAGACACTGCACAATTCTAGTTGGTGTGAGGCTTTGACCATACGAGAGGCATTCCTGGGCATCTGTGACCTCCTGAAATCACAGAAACTCTGCCCTGGGCCTCCGATGCATCTGCTTCTTTGTGGGTTTTGTTGTTGTTTGCTTTTTGTTTTGTTTTTCTTGAGAATGAGTACCTGTCTGTCTATGTTTATTGTTTATTTATTCATTTACTCAATAAATATATGTTATTTATTGCATTGTTCTGTCTGAGTGCTTGGCAGCAGCAAACATAACTGACAGGCTCTCAAATCTCACAATGTTGGGATTTTTTGTTTTGATGTTTGTTTGTTTGTTTGTTTATTTTGTGACAATTTTGCTTTGTAGCTTAGGCTAGCCTTAGACTTAAGATTCCCCTTTCTCAGCCTCACTGGGGTTAGGATTATAAGTGTCCCAACCTCACAAACTTTAGAGTCTGAAAGAAAAGCAGCAACCAAATAACAAAGCAAATGGTGTTATTTTATTGTTTGTTTGTTGGTTGGTTAATTAGTTACTTTTTATAATGTATTTAATTTTATTTTTATATGCATTGGCATGAGCGTAGAAGATCCCCTTGTACTGGAGTTACAGACAGTTGTAAAT